CCAGTGCGCGCCACCCAAAATAGTCAAAAAAGTTTTTATTAAAAAAAAAAAAAAAAAAAAAAAAAAAAAGCGTACACTTACAACCACAGCTGAGCTGACAGAGGCCGGGTTTAGATCAGGATGAGCATTCCCACATAATTTATTCCAGTGTGAATGAGAACTAACTTGAGAAGGCTGTGCCCCTCGCTACCACGGCTGCAGTTTGAAAGAGCATTTCAACGCTGCCTCACATTAATGCTTCATGAAAACTATTCTTCAGTTTAGATCTGTCTCAGATCTACCTCATCCACATTCAACTTACCGCAATACAGGCGGCCCACTGCTGTGATGCTGTTTGTTCTCTTGGATGGCAACACAAAACCCTGTAGTGAAGGAAAACGAAGGTCAGACCATAGGCAAAGCTGTAGAGCAGAAAGCAGCAGAGCAAACAATGGTATAGATTGCTTCAAGGAGAGTCTGTCGCTGAAATCTTTACAAACAGATTCAAGAGATAATTGTCAGGAATGACTTAAGTAGATCCGATCCCATCAAGGCACAGAGGGGAGAGACCAGGGAAACACTCTAAGACTCTTCTAAGGCTGGATTCCCACACCCCCTTCCCCGCTGGCTCTACCTGCAAATCTCCTTCTGTGCACCCCTGTACGCACAAAGATCAGCGAGTCCCACCTGCAAGCCGTGGACCAGTGCTGGCCCTTGGGACCAGCACATTGTTGACACTGTGCAGGCAGGTTTTACAAACCTATCAGTCTGTGTGTGCCTGGGCACACTCGGTAGGGAGGGTGGCACGGACTGTAGCCATCCGGTAACACCAGGCAGTCAGGCTGTGCTCCCGGACACAATCCTGGCACAGCTCGGCAGCCAGAGGAGCCCAGCAAGTTAGCACGTCGGGAATGCGTTGCTTTCCTCATTCCAGCTCAGCACGAGGTTTGGTTCAGGTGGTGATCACAGTTCTCCTCCTGTTCAGCAAACATTTGCACTACAGAACTGCAAACTCTGTATTCGAGTTCAGGATTAGCTGTTTGCAACCCAAGCTTCTGCCTGCTGAGCACCCCTGCCTGACAGCCTTTAGCGAAGGATCCTGGCCCAGAGGTATGTGGGCTGAGTTCACCCTCAGCATATGGCCAGGTCACAACAGAAAGGGAATCCTGGAGGAATAAATGATCTGCCACAGTGCATCTGGCTGATTACAGCTCCAGCAACTAGGAATGGCTCGTATTTCCCATGCTCCCAGGCATTCACTTGCCTTTGTCACCCCTTTAGGTTACTGTCGAAGAGGACAGCTACCTCGCCCACCCAACACGCGACAGAGCAAAAATACAGCACTCCCGACGCCCTCCAACACGGGGACATTTGATGGCTGTGGTACGTATAACAAACTCCAGACACCTGTTTAGGTAAAATTCCCTTGTAACTATATTTCATTTATAAGTAAATGCAAGACCTGGTGTTTGAGCTCTGGCCTGAGCTGAAAATTGTCATAAGACCCAGGGCTGTCCTGGGTCACCCGGTCTAGTCCGCCGTTCTTGTAGACCACTGCACTGTGCAAACCCTTTTGCAAAGTGGTAGCTTGCCATCACTGACACCCGTTTTCCTGACGCGGAAAATGAAACGCTCCTTCAAGTTCCTGACGGAGAATAGCCATGCAGCTGGGGAGCTCAGTCACGGCTTAGCCCAGATGGCTTGTCCGAGGCCGTGGAGCTGATCCGCATCGCAGCTACGAACCCAGGACACCTGGGGCTCTGCCACTACGTCACACTTGCTATTATTCCTGGTCCCTCTTTGCATCCCAGTGCAGGTGATGTGTAACTTCGGTGTAAGACACACTCAGAAGTAGTGTGCAGCCATGCCTGTTCCTGTGATAACACAGCTCTTCTTTGTCTGCTTCTTCAGGCATCTACCTCAACCTCTGATGGCATGCTGACACTCGACCTGATCCAGGAGGAAGACGCCTCTCCAGAGGATCACAGCACCTGCGAAGAGAGTTTCCGGGTGGATCTGGATAAGTCAGTGGCACATCTTACTGCTGGCCGGCGCCGGTCGGATTCTGAGAACGTCAAGTCGTCAGAGAAAGGCCGGACAGGGAGCCTCCCGAGACGGGAGGTGACCTCATGGGACAGATCTGGGCAGCGCAATGACTCCTTTGACAAAGGGACCATGTACACGCCACAGGTCCCCAAAAAGCTCTCGCACTCAGAAAAGAATAAATGTGCCTCCATGGAAGAAATTCTGTCTCGACGGGACTCTTCCACGCACCGGGCGGTGCTGAGGAGGGGGCTGGAGGCTCAGTTTGCCTCAGCAGAACCAGAGCAGCTGTCCCGGATACAAGAACTGGTTGCACTGAAACTGGAAAAAACTCAGGAACTGCTGACAGAGGTGAAGGGCTACGGGGAAGGCAAGAGAAAGACCAAGGATTCCAACACCAGCACCACCACCACCACCTCTTCTTCCTCATCATCTTCCAAGTCGGACTCTGAAAGGATCCTGCAGGAATCGGAGAGGTTGCTGGGGGAGGCTTCCTCCACCTGGAGCCAAGCCAAGAGGGTGCTGCAGGAGATCAAAGAGCTGAGGGACCTGTACAAACAGTTTGAACTGCAGCAGTCGGACTCAAAACCCAAACAGAGCTCACAGTCTCAGTACAGGAAGAGCATGATGTGAAGGCAAGCCTTGGGATTGGGAGGGAGGGACAGGGGAGGGCGGCCACTTGGTCTTTTTTTTAATTATTATTATTTACAGTGTTCAAAAGAGTGAAAAGGTGCCTGTTCTCACCCAAATTTGCTTCTCAAAGCTTGAACCCTTCCTTTCCTCCATCACAACCCCTGACGAAACAACCCTGTGTCCCAATAAATTCAGTTACAGTTTATACCTCCTTTTTTAAAGAGCACCCTTTGCACCACGGGCCCCCAACTTCTGTCATGCTCGGAGGACGGAAGAAAGCACCAGTTCCTAGAAAATGCCCCTGCATGCCTGGAGCAGCACGTGCATAACAATGGGGACAGATGCTCTTGCGCTGTATAAGCCCTGGCTTTGCTGCTCTAACGTCTGAGCTGTAACCTGCATTACAGCTCCTTGACCAAGAGTCTCGTCTCGTTCCCTCACTGTCCTCTTGGAAATAAATGACAAAAAAAGGTGTCTGTCCCAGCCAATGCTTGGAAGTCCCCATTATCCAGGAACTGTCTTGAAGATGCTTGGAAGTTCAGGCTGACCTCAAGTTTTTACGCGAGTCGTCTCGCTGGACTGCAGCTAGCGGGGTTCTGTCCTGGCACAGGTCCCTTTTGTGAACTCCTGGGGTCGGCAGCTGTTATTTTGTGGTACATATACAGCCCTCCAGAAGGAGGGCAACAGGTATGCAATCTGTGTTCAAACTAATCCTGTCTGTCCGTTGATGCTTTACAGAACCCCCTTGGCCCTGCGCAATGGGAGTTAGCAGCTCTATGTCTTCCTTTCTGTGCAAATAGAGGATCAAAGCCTTGACTCTAACAGACAGCCCGTATGGGTTGTTTGGGGGGATTGTTTTCTGGCTTTTCCATTTTCATTTCGTTTTTTTTTTTTTCCTTGTCTTTGAGCTGAGGGGAAATGGAAAAATCAGGGTTGTGTACAGGCGGCAGCCAGAAACCAAGAGCCAAAAGTAGTTTTGGTAGGTTTGATTCTGTTCTCTCATGCATGCACGCACGCGGTTTCTGCCAGTCGGACTGCAACAGATAGTCCTTGTTGCTCCCCTAAGATCAGAATCAGGCCTACTGAAATGAAAGCTGAGCCTGTAAGAGAGCTCAAATACCCTCATCTTGGTGATGCCAAGCACTTTGCTAAATAGGTGGCTCAGTTTTCACGCCTTTAAGCAGAAAGACAAGAAAGGAGGATGTTAAGATGTCTCACAGGGCTTAAAGTACACCGATGTGGTAACATCCAACTGTCACTTTTTTTTAAAAAGGAAGCCTAATTCCCTTACCTACATTGCAAATAACCCATGAAAATATTAAAACCAACAGAGTTATTTCCTGGTCGCAGTTGGTGTTGTCTATTTTCTTGCAACGGTTGACCTCCCTTGGAAAGGAGATTGGTTATCCACTTGTGCCTGGTCAGCTTTACTATTCAGGCTCATGTTGCTGATGTAGAGTTGCCAGCGCTGCAAAGAAAGCGTTTCTGTTTTGTTTTAATTAGTCCTTCTCCCACTTTCCTGTTAGAATTACTGGTAGAATTATTACTGTTGCCACTACGTTCCTGAAGATGTTATTATTTACAAACTTCAGATCCGGCTCTTGCAACAATCTTTCACTCGTTCCTGACTCTAGAACAGCTCTTTGCCCACTTAAACGACAATTTTGAAAAGGCAGCACTGATTCACCTAAGCTCTTGCCACAGAGCTGCATGCTACAACTGTCCAGGAGTATACGTGTCACCCTTCCAGCATTTTTGTTCTTTTCAATTTTTTTTCTTACCTTTTCTATCACTTGAAGGATCTCTTTGGATGCATCAGAGGAAAAAACATAATCCCTAAAAGAGATTAAAAAAGAATGCATGTGAGCCACTCTGATAAAACCTTTCCCGCTCAGCTCTTTGATCGAGAGAGCAAGAAAAATATGCAAATATTTTCCAGATGTGACATTCAGCATTAAAATTAGCCTTGTTTTCAAAATAAGAAAGCTAATCTAAAAACCTGGAGGTTTGAATTGCACTCGATTGGGCTGGATGTGTGTTGTGGCTGGCCTACCGGACCGATGTCAAAATGTGAGCATGAAAATACACCTGATCCTGACTGTGCAGGGGTCATTAAACGCTCTCAAGTCTCTCTTAAGCAAGAAGGTAACATAAAAATTGGCTGATTAACAGGGTCAAAACAGTGCCAGAGGCAGGGATGAAACATTGAGCAGTCACCCAGAAGAGGTGGCTTTTTTTGTTAGACAGGTAACCAAGGGCATCTTCCTTTCACTGCTGCCTCCACAAGACTGTGGAACTGAATCACATCTGATAAGACCCAGACGTCTGGGCACAGCGTTGCCACCCGTAGGTCTCTGCTGTCCCGAGAAAAGGGATGCGTTACACACACGTCAGAGCCGGGCAGAAATACGGGACCGTTTCTGCTCTTCAGACCAACCTGTGCAAGCCATTGCAAGCCAATTTTATCACTAGAACAAGGTTTGGAGGAAACGATGGAGCTGACTTAGGAAGTTAGGAAGAAACTACTTCCAACCTGGGAAGAATTGCAGTTCTCATCCCGCCAGTTTTTAGTCTGAAAACCCAAGGGGCCAAGTTTGATGCAGCTGCTGGTGCAGCATTTCCGTCTGGACAGCGAAGCGCTGCCGGGGTGCTGAGCCGCGGCGCAACAGCAGGAGCGGCAGCTTTTCCGCTCCCAGTGCTGTCTTCTTGCCCTAGAAGACGTCCAGCTCCCCGCTGGTGGTGTCTTACCCCCGGCCCTTCTCCTCCGCTCTGCGGGGAGCAGAGCATCAGGCTAGCACAAGTACGACACGTGATTTAGGACAATTTTTCGAACTGTACCGCACAAGATGCCAGATCTGATCCGTACATCGGCTTCTCCCTCCCTTCTCTCCGCCTCAGCGCATCACCGCTGAGTAGGATCTTGTGAAGATTTACTATTTCCAAAACTGATTGGAAACTCTCTTTCAGAATATGTTCCCTGTTAGAAAGCATCATTTCTGACGGGGCCCAGGGAAAGGGAACAACTAAGGGAGAAAAAACCCATGAGTTTTCAGAGTAGAAAAGCTATATTTTTCGCTTGGGAATATTTTTGTATTATACAAAATGTGAATTTTTCCTTAAAAATCTCTCAGAGTCAAAATAAAACATTTTTACAGTAAAATAAAACGGTTTTACCAACTGCCCCCCTTCAAGAAGCCTGACACTTTTTTCCACAGGCAATTTTTACATTGTTTTCATTCAAAACAAAATCAAACTCCAATTGTGGAATCCTTCACAAGGCAGAAATGCCGGGCTCCAGCCGGGTCGGATTACCAAGCTGTGAAAACTTCAACCCTGGGCTCAGCCTCCGTGCTGCTGAGCACTGGGTATCGCTGGGCCACGGCTACGACGCAGTCATGCACCAGAGCCAGAGCAGAGGGTTCTGGGCGTGATCCGATGCTTCACAAGAATATAAACTCCTGCCTACATTAGGAGCCTCTGACTGTAGACATCGCACAAATTGAAAGGATCGAAATATCTCTCTCCCCTTCTCCCACATGGGCTATAATTCTGCCCTCTTTTTATTCCTTTTTTATTTATTTTAAATGTTGTGAAGTTCTCCCCTCTGTCGATCCCGCTTCTGGGACTAGAGACAAAAAGCCAATTCTGAGCAAGAATGGCATGTGTATGGAAAACATGCCAGTCACGGCAGCGCTGCTGCTTCTTCCCTTCTGGAGCACGGGTTCCTGAGCGGAGAACCGCCGGGAAGCGTGGCTGGGCCGGCCGGAGGGGACCCTTCCTGAGGGCCGGGAGAAGTGGGCTGAGATTCCTCCCACCCGGCGGCTGCGGTTCATTGACAGATCACAGTTAGCGACAGTTTATTCTCTAGCCATATAAATGCATAAGGAAGGGGATGAACACACAGCAATTCTCACCCTTAGTTTCTCTTACTGAACCACATTCGAAAGGACCGAGTAGAAATTTTGCTTTCTTTTAAAATAAAAAACAAACTACAAACTGCAATAATAAAAATGATTCAGCCGCAATTGCAGTGATTCTCTCTAGTCTCTGCTCAGCACGCCCACGCCGAGGAAGCCGCTCGCAGCAGGGAGGGTGGGCTGCAGCGGGAACCTCCCTCCAGCCCCGCTCGCCGCTGCCCGGGGGGTCCTTGCGCCAGGGGACGGGGAGGAATTTATGGTGCTGCCATGAAGGGGATCTTCCTCGTTAATGGATTCGGAGTCCGTGTGCTGTAACACCCCTAAGTCATCAAAGGAAGGGAATTGTCCCTGAATTGCCACTGGAACCTCAGAAAAGGATTCCAGCAGATTTTTTGGAGATTTGGGAGGGTTCAGGAGCCTGTTTGAGTTTTATCATGCAAGTCACTCAAACCGAAAACACGCCTGACCACTGAAGTGCTTCACAACAGCTAAGAATGAGGGTCTGCTGTTCTCTAAGGCCTGGCTTGCGGCTGCCTCCTCCCCAGTGCCTCGGGCAGAATTCAGACGGTCCCAATTCACCCTCGCTTCCACCACAGCCCAGAAAATCCAGCACAGAAAATTCGAGCTTCAGTGCAGCAGGCCTACGGGAAGACTGTGCTTTGCAACCTGAGACAACCTCCCAGTCGTCTCCAAGACATTAAATTGGAGAGCTGCAGCAGTAATCTCAGCTTCCGAGCTCCCTGGGAGCATTGCTGTTCTTGTCCAAAAGCCCCTCGGAATTGCGCTGGGGACTGGGCAGCACTTTTTCAGGAAGATCAGATGTTAACATGAATAAAACAAAGCTGAAAATGAAGAGTTTCTTTATACCTGGTCTCTACACAACAGGATGAAGGGCAGAGTCCACCTGGAAGCTGAAAGGTTTTGTATTTTGCTTTCATGCCTTTCTGGTACTTCAACCTTTCCCTCCCGTCTCCTTCCCTCTGGCTGCGCGGGCCCCAGCCTCACCGCAGCGGAACTGTCCCCACGGGTGGCCGTGTCCGCCTGCGCCCGCGGGCACCCTTCACCTGGCTGTGCCACGGCACTCGGCAGGTGGCTATGCTGAGAATAAATCAGTCGGCGTGGCGGCTCAGCAGGCACACCCCACGCGAGCGTGCGCCTGGGATGCTTCACAGCATAGCAAGGAAAAATTTGCAAGGGGAACAAGCAGTGTCAAACGCGAGCAAATCGTTTTTATAAAAGCAGTTCAAGAATTTGAAGAGCAAGATCCCTTTCTGCTTCATGCACCGCATG